CATCAAAATATCATTTAAGAATGCATTGATAAAATTATGAGGTATTTCTCCCGCCTTCGTGGTGTGATGGTCCGTACGCTGGGCGCGTATTTCAGAGGTCCGTGCTTCGATTCCCGGCAAAGGCATTGCATATTTTTCATCTTTCCTGCTTCCAAAAAGTTTTGTTATTGTCTTATTAAATATACTTTTTAATTCAGAAGATTACAGATTCAGAATATTCAGAATATTACCTAGTGTAATATAAAATACAATACTCGCGGCATATTAAAAATCACTTCTGTACAAAAGGATTTCTCTTTAATGAATTTAATAGACGGCGATTTGTATATCACAAAACGTTTTAACAGATTTACAATTTTTAAATAAAATAACAACTAACAAATAATAACTAAGAAATAATGCTAAAATTAAACTATTTACGTTTTTTTAAAATTAATTAAAAATTTTTATGAAAGTAGTTTTATAATTGCGTATTTTATATATTACGAACAACCATTTTATTTGTGTTTGTTTCATAACGTTCAACGACGGATTTTTAATTGCATTTCGTAAAATTGCTGAAATTTCGTAAAACTGCTGAAAGCATTTTTGGCCATTACCTTTCATTTCAAAAAATTTTATTAGAATTTCAGTTCTTTTCTATATTTGATTGATGATGGCATGCTATAATTTTTCTTCGTATCATTTTTACTGTCAGTTTCTGCAGTTCTCTTAAAACTTTCATAGACAGGTTTTATACACATTTTGTATCAAGAGTGTTGTGGACTGACAAAACATATTCTAAAAACCTGATGTGTACACCATATGACTTCTTTGTACGGAATTTTAAATTATATGCATTTTCCCTGCATTTCACTTGAATTTATTTTCTCGAATTTCATTAGAGGTATCTTTCTCATTCAATCAATTCAGTTCTCATTTCACGGCAAGGCAAAAATATATAAAAACTCAAAACATCTTCATTAAAAGGTGTAAAATAAAGAACAACATAAAACACAAAACACAGTTGAAACACTTAAAAAATCATTTTTACAATTCAAATTAGTAAAAACAAGCAATTCGCCCGGCGGACAAGAAGGCAGATTTTTCGGTGCACAAAACGGAAAGCTTATGTTTGGTCTCATTTGGCAAAAAGACACTGAATGTGTAGAAAATGACTTAGTTCACTACTAAAAGTTTTAAATGTAAACAAATGGCTGCTTCTTAGTAACACTTAAAATTGTTTTAATTAATGATAATTCTACAACTATTGCATGCAGATTAAATAAAGACATAAAAACTTTAACCGGAATATAAGAACAACGTAATTCAATCGCTTTTAACGCAAAAAATGCACAATTTACCAACATATAAGAATAAGAAAACTGAGCTTACCAACACGGGTAACAGAGTGGGTATATATGTGTATCTATTTATACACTTTTGTTGTTGTTACTTATGCTTACTTGTCTGACGTAGTTCGCCCAAGCCCACAAAATTCCTCGTGGCAGGGAGCGCTACATTACGCCTGCCGTTGGCAACAGCCTTGAGCACCATTCAGGTGACAGTGAAATTTAACTCAGTTTCTTGACATAGATTCTTGCCAAAATCCAAAAGAAGCGCTCTCGAACCTTGTTTAGTGTCTCCATGAAGCCGAAATTGGGCTGCTGTTTTTTTCTTCAGAACATCAGGTATCTGGCGATTTCGAGGAAGCGGTAGTTCCATTGTATTAGTTCCATTGTCGCTTTCCCATAGTCGATATAAGATTCCATTTAAGAGGTGGAGTGATCCCCAGAGAGCCTAGTACCTTTTAGTTGTAGGACTGAAAATGGAAATGTTCTGACACTTGGGTTTTTTAGTGGATGATTCCTTCAGCTCTATTATTGGCTTAATGTCACGATATGCCAATTGATATTCTCTAACTTTTCCCTCACTTCACGGATCTGGATCGGCTGATGTTGAAGATGTTATTTGCGGGATGCTAGGATTCGTCAACCTGTACTTAACCTCGGCTCTTGAACAATGCCTGGAATGTGCAGAACGACGTTTCTTGGATAAAGCATCTGCATTTCCGTGGTAGAAGACTTTAAGGTGTTTCATCTCAGGAAGCTTTATCCTGATGACATTTGGGGTTCAACAGAGGTATGGATTCATGGAATTGGAGTAATTAATGACAACAGTTGATGAAGAATCAAGACACAATTTACTCGCCAGTAGGCACTATTACACAGGACAGTTCCAAAGACGCGTTCACAGTCGTAAAAAACTACGATAAACACGCTGAAACGAATAGCAGCACAGCCATTAAGCTATAACGGTTACATCAGCGTCATGGAAAAGCACTAAAGTACAGCTCCAGACTCGGTGGATCGCTTTCAAGCTAATCTCTGACTCAAGATATTCTAATTTTCCCCGGAATCTCAGTTCCAGCTTTCATTTGAAAGAGCGTTGAAGTTTGAAATCTGGTCTTCTGATAGGACTTCTAAGTTGTCTGTAGCGTCACCTCGGAGTGATACAGCTAACTGCAAGGCCTTCATGTATGAGACCAATTTGTTAGTTTCCGCCAAGATCGAAAACTAGGTCTTACTCAGTACAGTTTTCTTTCAAAAAATTTACTTCTTTCCCAATCCTTGACTGCATCGACGAAATGCATCAGGGACATCTTTGAGGATATCTGGTGAACAGCCTGGATATGCGTGATGCGCCAACCTCTCCTTTCAGTCGCCAGTTCTTGAAGGCTTTCCGTGATTTTCTGCTGGAGAGTTTTCAGCTACAGGCGACTGTAGTCCGTTATGCATTTCTCCTCGAATCTCAATTCCACCGCATTCGAGAGGGCGGTGAAGTTTGAAATCTACTTTTCTAAAAGGGATTGTAAAATGTCTGCAGCATCGCCTCGGAGGGAAGCAGCCAATTGCGATGCTTTCATGTGGGAGTCCTACATGTTAGTTTCCGCCACGATCGAAAAACTGGGTCTTACATAAATTCCATGATATACTGCATGATGATTTTCCATGGTATGTGCTTGGTTTGATTACCATACCTTCTTTCTTTCAAGTCTTTTAATTTATCTAATTAATTTATTGTTTTGCTGCAGTTCCATCTGTTGGAGTTTTTCTTGCAGCTTTTCTTGTGGCTTTTATTTCTTCTTGAACCAATTTTATTTCACTAACTTTTCTTATCCCGCCTTGATCTCTTCCTCTCCGGCTTTTACAGTTGCTAAAAGGTCCAGCAAAGACTGCATTTCCTCCTCCATTGCTTTTTCCGATAGGCGGGTTACTGGCATTCACTCACAAACCCCACTCCTAACACCAATTGTTGCTGATTATTTTAGCTTGTTTGTCGTATTTTTTGCATGAGTTAAAAGTGTCTTTCGAACTGTCCTGTGTAATAGTGATTACTGGCGAATAAATCATGTTTCAATTCGTCATCAAGTGTTATCATCAATTACTCCAAATCCACGAAGCTGTAGAACTCAACAATTGGTGGCGGGTGATATGATGAACTGAGAAAAGATTGAAAAAAATAGAAAAATGTATGCCAACACTTAACATATGTAAGCTTTATGTCAATTTTTCTAACAGTTAATCTTTAGTTAAAAGTTACTTTCTTATCTTCCTGAATTTCTGCTTACAACTTCCGGTCAGAACATATTTTTAGAATCGCGTTTGAATGCAAATGAGGAGAAGTATTTAACTGTGAAGTTCTACTGACTTCGGGAGACAGCCAGAGATTCTGACTAGCGCGCGTTCGCCTTTTTAGGCTACTCTCTCTACGCTCGACCGTACTTTAGGCCCTTGATAGAGCTTCGACGTTAGTTAGCATTAAGGGGCCAACTCTGTTAGAATCTTGATAGCTTAGGGTATATCTGTTTAGTTAGATTAGTTAAATTTAATTTCTTAGTTTCCTGAGTTCAAGCCCGAGTGGAGGCTTTATTGTAAAACTCCAAGAAGGAGTATTCTATGAACTTTATTTGGAATAATAAAGGGTATTTAACCCTTCTCACGTTTTTGTTCTCTGTCTCACGAACTAAAGCCATTATTTTCTTATCAGTTGTTAAGGTTCTTCCATTTAACTATAACTTAAAGATACACTGATTGGAATATTACACATTGTATCGAGAATTCTAAACATATGTTGCTTTTAAATTTTTTCGAATTTTGCTGTTGAATTGCATATGGCATAAGTGCGAAGAATATGATGCTTAATAATAAAACTAAAAAGATAAAAGAGGTGGGTTAGCAGCTGTTTATTTTTATAATTTGCTGTGTCACTTTTAAAAAAATAAGACATAGCGATAACATTTGGTTGCAACATGCTTTTATTTGAAAAGTGATACGGAGACAAAGTGATTCGGATAAAAAATGGAGAATCGACAGCAATACTAGCATCGTGATAGTATGAATCAATAGTTATTTGAAATATATTTTACTTGTTTTATAAAATTTAAATAATAATTATAATCTTTTGTAATCTGAGTTTGGAAAAAGCCGTTTGATCTCATTTTTGAAACCTGAATAACTTCGGAGACTGAAGTTTTCCTCTGGTTCTCTAAGAAAGTATCTCTGAGGATTAAAAGTGCTTTTATGTTCCTTAAGAAAGGAAGATGTTAAAGAGTTCTAATATTATATAATGATTATATGCCCTAATATGAGCTAAATGTTTCGGCAAAACTTTAAAAATTAATGTAAAATGTAAAAAAAAAAAAAAAAAAAAATTAATCATATACAATACGGCAAGTACTTTGCCAAAATTGCATTTCAGAAATTAATGTAAAACTAACTTCAAAAATATTTAAATAGGCTGTCGCTTTATGGTTAAATTTAAAATTTAGGATGTGTTAATAGTATAAAATATTTTTCTTGCGAAATTTCAATTATTTAGTTTACTAGAAATAAACCATTTCGCGAGCAGTGAATCGGCGCCAGCGCTTCCTCTTCTTGCAACCCTGCGCGCAACGCAGGATGATTCTCATAACTCACCGTGAAAGCGACCCTCTCTCACTCGGCGTATTTCTTCGAGAGTATACGGTGGCGACAAACTAATACATTTTCAATATCGTTGCCATTTTTTATGACTGAAAACTTCTCTTGTTTGTGGATATTTTTTTCCTGGAATTAATTTCTGTGTTACGGTGATCTGTCGATTGAAATGGTGAATAAGAATTTGATTTGCGGATGCTAATTATATTTTCAATTAGGAAATTTATTGTTTTTACAGTGTACAGAATACTACACAAAATACTTATGCCTTTAAACTTGACGACTAGGACTAATTTTCATTAAAAGTAACATTTAAGAGTGTAAAGTTACTTTTCAAAAGCTGTTTTTCTGAAAATTACTAATGCTGTAGATGCAACAGAAGACCGAGTTTTATCAAAAATGTTCATTCGAGAAAATATGCAGTAAATGGCACATTTATTACTTGAAATCTGAAGAGCTTGATTTTAGTTGAAGTACATTTATAAAGGTTTGATTATGTAAAGCACATGTACATGTATGTAAAAATGAAAAGTTATACGCAATGGAGCACAATTATTATTTCAAGATATATTTTCTCTGCGTTAATTCTTTCATAGTGCTTAGAAAAAGGCCATCTATAATTTGCACATGAAAAAATTTAGAAAAACTGAGGTACGTCTTATGTGAGTATATAATTTCAGAATTTACTTTGTATTTTTCTTTTAGCTAAGCAATGTAATTCAGTAGAAAGATAAACTTGTTCAGTAATGCGCGTTTTCATGTGCACCTCTGCTTCACTATATTTACAAAATCAAATAAAAACTTAGGATACGTTTATTCAAATCTTCAGAATAAGAGTGAATTCCACAGTTATTTTCACGCTGAATGACCGAATTTCTTCCGGAATTACTTTAAAAATACAAGCAATATGAATTTTTACATCTTTCGCAAAAGATTTCTTATTTCATTCTTATTCATAATTAGGAATTCCTCAATGACTAAATTTAATATTTGTGTAGGATTATTAATTTTATTGCTGATTGTTTCTTCATCACTAAACTTTGACTCCATTGAGTTTATAAAAATGAGTTACTCTTAGGTGTTTTGCTTAATATCAGAATAAAAATTATGGACTTGCATGTTACCTTTATATTAGTTTCAGAGAAATGTTCTTTTATTCCTATCTTATCATTACTATTATAACCTCTTCTCTCGGTGTGTTCCATATATCTGGAAGTTCAATAAACAGTAATGTAGCCGCAGTATCAGAAATGTTTCGCAATATGACATTAAGCTCTTTCCCTTCGTCAGAAGAAATACCAAACATACCATCTACAGAGGATGAAAATTCAACTTTCTGTGCTGAATTAAGTTCTGCATCAAATATGAGGGTTTCTGATGTATTTTACCAGCAGCAATCTGGAGTTTGGACCACTAGTCGTCCTATTCAAATGTCAGAGATGAGGAACGAAACTTGTGTCGTGTTTAAACATGCTCCTGTACTCACCAGTGGAGCCATGTTCAGAGTTGTTATCCTTTCTAGCATCAGCTTAGTATCATTGGTGGGAAATGTAGCTGTTCTCATCACTATAGGATGCAACCAGAAGCAGAGACAATCTACAATATATCTATTGATTGGAATTTTGGCTATGGCAGATCTCTTTGTTACCACGTTTTGTGTGATTCCTGATGCTATCTGGACATATACTGTGCAGTGGTTGGCTGATGACATAACATGCAAAACGTTAAAATTTTTACAAATGTTTTCTTTGTATTTCTCCACATTCATATTGGTTGTGATAGGATACGATCGTTTTTGTGCAGTTAGATTTCCAATTCAGCGTTTGAATTCGAAAAAGAGAGCTCGCCGCATGCTGTTTATCATTGGAATACTCAGTGCTGTTTTCAGCAGTCCACAGGTTAGTAAACCTTTCGTTGTTTTGAGAACACTATGCAATGTTTTCTTTCTTTCATTTATATAAATAATATTTTTATACTTTAAGAATATTTCCTTCTAAGAGCAATATTTTAAGAAGACAATGATTGCACATTTTTTAAATTTAAGCAAAACTTGGTAATATTTTTAAAATTAATGAAATTTTGGAATATATCGAAAGTAAATAAAATATGTAAAGCTCGATTAAGAGAATATAGTCTTCGTTGGAAAGTTGAACTTTACTTTTTCTAGGCTTTCAAAAGTGCGTTTTTCTTGTTTTTTAGAAAAAATATCTGGAAGTGTAATTTTTATTGCGAAAGAAAGGAAACCTACATTAAATGTCTGTTTAAATTTTCATTATTTGCATTATCACGAATTTTGCATTAATTACCTTTATTTTTAAAATTTACGTAAGTTTTAATACATAAGACATATAGGAGATTTTCGGAGATATGTAAAATAGAGATCTTGAGCTGGATTTGCGGCATAAGCGACAATCATTTTTTGGAAATTAGAGGAAAATGAAGTAAAAAAATGGAACTTTTAGCAGAAATACAATGTTTTAATAAAAATTACACATTTCTAATGAAATTTTTTTTGAATGAAACATGAATGTATAATTGTGAATAATATATAATCTATGGAATGATGCCATATGTTTCACGTTGCTAAAGCTGTTTTATAGAATCTCATATATCATTTACTATGGTTTTATATCGATATATATTTTTGTAGATATATACTATCATAAACTATTAATTTAATCTGAATTTCATTTTTAGAAAATGCGATCATAGATATTACGCGAATCTGAAACATCCATTTCAAAGTTCTTAGTCCAGTAGTCTGTTGTATTATTTCTGGTCTAACATAAATTAAGTAAAATTTTTTAAAAATATGTAACATGGTAGCAAAAAAATGTAATGGAGTTAAAAATATTCTCCACCCCTTTACTTTAAGATAAAGCAACTGCATCACGTGTAGAAGTTTTTCTGTAATTCAGAAGTAAATTCAATCACATTTTGCCTGCAATTTCAAGAGTATTTGGGAATGGAAAGAAATAATCAATTTGAAATTTCAATCCAAATTGAATTTACTTTTAAACTTGTAGAGTCATTAGAATTTTTGATGCTGAATACATGAAAAATGGGCTTTTCCTTTGCCGGGACTCGAACCTTTGAACTCTAGAATACACGCCGAGTATGCTTCCAATTACATTACGAAGGATGCAGAGGCAAGGAAAAAATACCTTATAGACTGTCATCAATTTTATTGAAAAGCTGGATTAATTTTGAATGGACTGAATAGATCCATCAGATTCAATGGGAAATATTCTGCAAAACATGTTCCCCTCTTGGACAAGCGAATTAAAGTATTTTTCTTCTCTTCTTAGAAGCAAAATGCATTTACTCTTTGGAGAAAAGGGACATGGTTAGAATCTCAAAACGCGCACAGTCTTGTTTCCTTTCAAGAAACACTTAATGTAAAGTTGAATTTTACTTAATATTACAATTTACAATGTTAATTGTATTTACTTATGATTAGATTAAGATTAAATGAATTTTCTCTTTTACACTCACAGAAAGTATTTTGAAAATCGAAAAATAAGTTCTTTTAACATTCAAAATCTCGCATGATGACATTAAAATGCACATTTTAATCAATATTATCGTTTATACATTCTCTTAAATTTCTTTTGCGTAAATACTTCTATTTAGTTTATTTGTTTATACCTAATATAAAGACCCGACACTGAAAAATTTCACAGCAAGGAGTAACATTTAAACTGATTATAAATTCACAGTACACAAATATCTAAAATAGAATCAACTTTAATTTGTTGTTTATTTCAATGGAATATATTTCAGGAAAAGTAAGTTAAATAAATTAAATTTCTGAGATCGATTTAGCATATTAGAGATTGCATTTTTTCCGTAAACGAATTCCATTTAATGGTATTGAAATTCCAATTTACTGAATAAACTGAGCTAAATCTTATGATGTATAATTAATAGATTTTTACTACATATCACCGTTATATCTGTTCAATATACGCCAGTCTTAAATAGAATTAGTACTAAATGGTGAAGTCAATGTGACCTATCACCTCATAATGAAGACCCTAATGTGATGTTGTATATGTATAGTAAGTTGAAGGAAGTGTTGAAAATACTAATCTAATCCTAAATGAAAAGGGGGGATACTTCGTTCCAGTAGCTGAGCATTCCTGAATATTTGTTTCTCATCAAAGGAAAAAACGAAGCTAAAAAAGCTCTAGGATAGATAGGAAGCTAACTTTAAGCTAAGAGAGAAAAATAAAAATGATGGAAAAAAATGAAAAAAAAAAAAAAAAAAAAAAGATGCATAAGCCCAAACATGGAATACAAGGCAATATGTCTGCTTTCAGCTTCAGACATTATAGCAAAAAGAAATAGTACACCAGACAAAAACTAGAAAAAGCAAGACCACATCAGCAAAAAAAAAAAAAAAAAAAAAAAAAAAAAAATTAAAAAAAAAAAAAAAAAGAAAAATCTGAAATGTTTCAGATTTTAAATTACGTCCAAAGGGGCGTTTTTTAACATTTTGTGTGTTACCTTTCTTTATTAAATATCATGTTCCTCGCACTTAAACCATAAGATCCAGTGCAACAGCAATATCGCAAAATAGTTTTAAAACGAGCATATCTTTAGAATTTCCGATACAGAGACTCACGCGCTGGAGATAAAAATGTTTTTTCTGCACAACGTTGCCATTGCTCGCTTTGAAATCCTTGAGTTTGTTAATCAAAAATTCGTCAAAGTTTTAAAAAATAGGAAATCGATCATAAAACAAATTTCAAATTTCAAATTTCAAATTTGGTCTTCCACATGCTCATATTCGTTGGAGGATTACGTTATTCAAAATTCGATGACTCTATGTACCGTTATTTTATGACAATGTGAGAAATATACATACATTTACGCAGATTTTCATTATTTAATTTCTTCAAATATAATGCAGGACTCTAACATTTTATACATTTTATGGCAACAGTTTGAAAAGTGAACCGACATTTATCCGTCCGACGCAAAATGCCAAAACGAAACTAATAGTCCTTCGGGATTAAAATCCCTTTGGACTAAAAAAAAAAAAAAAAAAAAAAAAAAAAAAAACAGAGAGACAGAGACAGAGATTCATACACAGCTGCGGCGTTCAAAGCAAATAGCATTTATTAATCAGCTAAGAATGATGGTTCGGTAAAGCCATCGAAACTAGTCCTGTGAAAAATTTGAAAATATAAAGCTGATTTTTGTTGTTTGACTAAATTAATACTTGTTCGGCATGTTATTGTATCTTAAATACCATTTAGTTAAAACGCGAAGCTTCAGATAAAAGTACCAAATTATTGGAGTAAATCACCAACTTTACGAATTAATGAGTGAGTGGGAGTGAGGGAAGGAATGTAAACAAACCCTCAATAACACAAGTACGGACGTTATGGAAAAAGAAACTATATGCATACAAAAAAGTTAAAGATCACAAATGATAAGGAATAAAAACAAATATAAATGAAGAAGAAGGAAGGAAAACATCTTACCTTCATAAACAAAAAATTATCTTTTCCTACAATTAATGATGAAAAATAATGCTTTTCAATGTTAAAAAATAAGTAAAAAAAAACCGAACTTTCTAAACTTCCGAATACGAACATTAACAGCAGACAAGTTTATGAACAACTCCGAAACACGTCCGCACCCTTCGCAATCCTCAAATTAAATCTGAGGAATTACTGCAGAAGGTTTTATGTGGTGACAGCTAAACACCTTCAAATTCTCTGATTTCGAAGCCGATTTGTCCCACGTTAAATTTGCATGTTCTAGATAAAGCAAAGTTTAAACGAAAAACAAAAGAAAGAAAAGTTGAAAGGTATTTATTCAATCAATTTTATAACAAAGCATTCTCTAAGTTAAAAATGCATTTTATCCTTACAAAATGGTATATAGTTATCGTCTATTAGACTAATCCGACTCATTCTATTCTCAATTTAATGTAAAAGTGGAAGTATTTTGCTACTCGAGGTACTCACCGATGATCCATCAAATAGCTGAAAGCTCGGATAAAATGGAGATTCACAGAACATCCAGGTAAGAAACTGGGATTTAACATATTTCTCCAATGTAACTTGATGCGTAATATTAACGTTGCGAAAAGCACAGCTGCAGTGAGATAGCTTACCCGAAAAACGGGATTAGGGTTGCCAGATTTCGCATGAAATAGCCCGTTTGACCATATTTGGCGATATGCCCAAGCTCACAAAATTGGCGATGTGTCACAGACGGAGAGAGTACATTCTATAACACAATTTTGTTTTAGGTTTTGATTCAGGTTTTGTCGAGAATAAGCTTGAAGGGAAGTCAAAGCTATATATACCCTACCTATCCTGGAAAAGAGTGTGCCTTGAGTTCAGAGATTAGCTTGAGAGCGATCGACCGAGTTGAGAGCTGTACTTTAGTACTTTGTCGTGAAGCTGTCATCACCGTTATAGCCTGAAGGCTGTATTGCTGGTTGTTTCAGCGTGTTTGTCAAAGTTTTTCGACAAGTGTGAACATGCCTTTGGAACTATTCTGTGTAACAGTGCTTGCTGGCGAATAAATTGTGTTTTGCTTCTTTTTCAAGTGTTATCATTAATTACTCCAAATCCACGAACACGTAGAACGCAACATTAAGATTACAAACGCAAGAAACTTTATTTCGTTTACTGAAATAAAATTTTGTATACGGATACCCAGTATAATGAAACAGACAATAGTGACATAATTTAATAAGCATAGGATATATGGTTTTTGACATGAAATATAAAACGGAGAAACATTACGCCATATTTCTAGAATGGTCCGGCTAATAAGAGTTATCGCTAATCTGCTGAGCTTTATAGGGCTTACAACGGCTTTTGTTACTTTGAATAAGGTTATTGATCACAACTTGTGGTAAGAAATACCATTC